ACTCCAAAAGAAGCAATATTAGTGCCCGCGGTGTCGAGCATCGGTCTCGAGAGGTGATCGCGGCCAGGAGAGATAAATACTGGCGGATTGTCATTGAGGTCCTGGACGAGAACAGTGATCAAAACCGAAGCCGAGCGGTGGCTAGGCAATCGAGAGTAGAGGGTAGAGAGGCAAGTCTGAAGGCCACTGCTAACGCCGGTAAGACGATCGGCAAGTAGAGGAGAGACTGAACGACGCCTGCTCCGATCTTCTGCTACAACAACAAGGTCGAAAACAGCCTGATTTTCGAAGTCCAATGTCCTTTTCAAGCTAATTCGGCCAGTACGGCGATTAATCTGTTTAAGTTTAAAAGGGATATTACGCTGTGTAAATTTAAGCCAATTATTTTCTGATTACCAGATTCTCCTGAAATATTACCTGAATTACTTTCTTGCGCGTAAGTGGTGCAAAAGCTATTTCTCATGAAGTGAAACAGTGAGCCTTATGAAAATGCAGACTTTAGTGGCTTCAAAATATGACAGTAGTTTCAAGGCCTACTCAAAATGAAATTAATGGATTCATTTTGTGCAAAAATTTTATCTTGATTATAATCATAGATCGGACTTTTCACATTTTCCTATACACAGGCCATAAATAATAAACCAAGCCGAACAGAGATAAACATTGCTTATTTACGTGACAACCCTATTGTCCTTTTCACTCATCTGCAGATATCTAAGATAAGCATGAATTACTCTGCCAAATTGTGAGATTTCTCATTAAGATCATAAAATTAGTTAAAAGAAGTGAGCAGAATCGCAGTATACCACCTTTCTGAGCTTTCTTTATTAATAAATTTTTGTAAACGATAATTTCTGGCTCTAATGATGCTTTGCCTGCATCTTTAGTGAGGGGCGCCACCCTTGGCACAATGTTACAACTTATCTCGTACAACGATACTGTAACTATGCTAAGGATGGCGTTTTTTCCTGAAGATACCGGCGAGACAGCTGGAAATGTACCAAGTTAACATTGCGATGCTGGAAATTAACATGAATACTATGATGGAGGACGCAGGATTAGGTATGTTCAACGAAGTCCTCCTGTTGCTCCGACAACGTTGCAAAAACAAGGTTAAAGCAATACGAAAACAAGTATTTTTAACTATAACGAGATTAGGTGTAGATATTAAGACAAGGATCATATGGTCTTAGGTTTAATCACAATAGTTTACTTTGACTTTGTTTCGGTAACTTGGTCGAAAGAAAATGAAGATCTTGGTGAATATACCCGGTCCTGAGTATTAATGAAAATTTCTAATGACAGACCGTTTACTTTGTACATTCGTAGACGTCCCGCCAGCACCATCAGTGAGAGGTGCTAGACTTAGCACCGAGGTACAGTTTGTCAAAGTACCACTTAAACCAGTTTCTGGTCAAAAATTGTGGCATGAGAATGACGGCTTGGAAGCACTGCTTGCTAAGCATATCTCAAATGTTATAGCATATTTTTGAGGTCAGTCATGTTAATAAATTGGAATAAGCGAAGATGCAGTTAGGTAAATGGGTCATATTAAGTAGAAGATGTGAAGACCAAGATGTTGTGGCCTCGGGTATGGTCGCAGTCTCCTTTCAAATTATAGAAGTGGGTTGACCTCGTTGTCGCAACTTGGTCATGTGTTCAGGGAGACTATGTAGAACGCACCG